ACCCTCAAGCTCAACAGGCTCAAGGTGAGAGAAAACAGGGCTCAGGTCCCTGGAAACCTCTGTCCTGATAAGACCATTCCCTGTGATGAGCTGTGTGTCTTCCTTCACAGGGCCCTAGTTCCTGTCCTGGACTGGGGTTCTTCCCTCAGCACACCCAGCCCCAGGGCCCAGCACAAATCAGAATGTGACCCTTTTCCCTAGGCTTGGGAATCAGAGGGTTTGAGCAGACCTTCCCTGCAACTCTTGCAGGACATGGAACTGGCCCACAAGGAGCTGCTCAAAACCCTTGGGGGAGAGTCGTCAGGTGGCACCACACCTGTAGGCAGTGTCCATGCGGAGATGGCCAGATGGACAGACAGCTCCCTCTCCCCTCCTAAGGAGCCCCTGGCCTCTGACTCCAGAAACAGCCACGAACTGGGGGCCTACCCTGATGATGGTGAGTGGAACTGGTTCCTACTTTGTACCTGCCATGGGGGAGGAGGTCATGAGCTTGTGAGGAAATGTCACCAGACACTTTGAGAGGTAGTGGTTCTCAGAGTCTAGTTTCCCTGAGTGTAACGAATTCATTCCCTTGGCTTCAGCAAGGGATCTTTTTAGGGAAACATTACAGAAGCTGCCCTAAAAATGGGACACTTAGAACTGATCCCTCTTTTCCTTGTGCTGTGGAGGTAAGGAACCAGATGGTCTCACACCATAGACCTGCTTTTATGGAGCAATTCAGAACCATATCGGAGGGTCCAGGGACATGCCTGTGCTCTAACTCAGGAAGATGCAGCATATTCCTGCTTGATATCAGGGAATGGGGTACTGACAGAACAAAAGTTTGGTCCAGTAAACATCCTTATTTAGGACCCCCAAGAAACTAGAATTTCTGGAAGGGGGGTGGGAGGAGCTACTCTAATGAGCCTGAGAACTGTCTGGACAAAACATGAAGAAATGGGTCATCTCAAGCCTGGCCAATCTTACTGTCACCATCCTCCCACAGGCTCTGACACACCCCTGGAAGACGGCACAGTAGACACAGCCACATCGCCAGGACCATAACCATCCAAACCACATCTGCACCCCATTCCTCCTCTGAGCACTGGCCTTAGACTGGGGTGCAGGATGGGGAGGCCCAAAACTTCCTCTCTGTGGGAGCCACATTGGGGAAACCAGGATCCGGCTGAGGCCTCGGGGGGGATCCGCATGTTACTTGGTCTGCTCAGACTGGAGTCAGGTGTCAGTGTCTTTTTCCCTCCCTTATCTACCCTCCAAGGCCTGTGTCCCCTTGAGCATGCTGACTGCTCCCCGCAGGCTGCCCTGCCCACACGCATGTGAGCACGTGTGCGTGTGCACCTGGATGTGCAAGTGAAAGGTGGAGGTTTCTGTGTAGACGCACTTTCTCCCTCTCCCTTTCTCGGCAGGGCTCCAGGTGGAGGCACGTGCCTCTCCTTCTCTAGGTCACTTTGGTTTCCTATAAATATGTATGTATTGTATGTGCATCTCTGCTCTATACATAACTTAGACGATTTTGTTTCTGTTCCTGGAGTGCTGGAATCTCCTGTTAACAGCTGGGCTCCAGGATCAGGGAGCCAGGCCTAAGTGTCCCTGTCCCCTATGGCAGGGAGGGCTTCTGGCCTCCAGTCCCACTTGGCTCTAAAGCCACCCTACCCCATGCAGCTGGATTCCCAGCTACTCCCTTCCTCCCAGGACTTCTTATCTTCACAAGATGGGGACTCTCTCCTATGTTCACCCTTCCCCACCCTCTCCCTATAGAGAAGCAGCATAGCAGGTACGGAGGTGGGCTTAGGGATCTGAATGCTGGAGTCCCTGAACTGCCCCAGGGCCATTGCAGCACTGGCCCCGTCGCCACCATGTCCTCAGCCCTCTCCCCAGTGAACAGAATATACACACTGTGCTAGGTGTATATATACATATATATATATATAAAAATATATATAATATATAAAATACAGATATGGAAATGACGGTTTTGCTGTTAAGATAATGTATACTCTTATTTTCTTCCTTTCATGGTTAAGGTTTTTTTTTTTTTTTAAAGAAAAGTTAAATATTCTTCAATTGTGTGTGTGTGATTCTTGGGACCACTGTGATAAGAGAAGCTGTCGCTATTCCTATGAGACTGGCTAGAGCACTACCATGACTTCAGATGTGTCCTCACTGAGCTGGGTGGCATGCAGACTGTGTTGTGCAGCACCCACCCACAAATGCAGAAGAGCAGTGGACACAGGGTGACTGGCTTTGTGAGCCGCCCTCAGTGACCTTTAGGACTATATAGGCAAAACCTAAAGAGGATCATCTTGGGCCTTGCCAAGTTCTCATTGTCATCATCCCCTTCCTGCAGGCATGGCCCACCCCCAGGACTGTAACTACCCATGTTGACTCTGTCCCTCTGCCTTCAGTGTGGGACTCCTCAAGTCCCACATTTCTGACAGTCTCACCCCAACTCTCATGACACAAGGCTCTGCCATGGGCACCAGGACTGATACAGGCACTATGCACAGTGAAGCATAGGGTACAACATCACCAAAGTTTTAGGATGGGGCACAGGGGCCACTGCAGAAGCTGGGGTGATAGTTATTACCAAGCCCCTTCATATGCTCTGTTTGCCCTGGAGAAGCAGCAGCTGAGGCAGCCAGACCATGAGGAGGCAGAAGAGGCCCACAGAGCAGCTGAGCCACACATAGGACAAGTGGAACGGGGCAGTGCTGGGTGTACTTGAAAGAGGGAAGTGGGGGCCAGGGTGTGTGGGACATGTTAGCTCTGCTTAAGGTGAGGACTAGTCCCTAGTCCCCTTGTCCTGAAGCGTCCTATGGGTTGGGAACTCCCTGGAGCCATCCTGTGCATTCTGGGCACCATGAGTTCACTTCAGTGGAGGCAGCACTGTCACACTGCTGTCTTGTTTCAAACTGCCATCCTCAGCAGGCAGTGTCATTAGGGTTCATGTTTAATGCTTGGCCTTTCCTATGTTTATGTTGAGAGGCTTAGCACCCTCTCCAAAGCGGCCTGCCAAGCCTTTGTGCTTTCTCTTGAGTTGGGGCCTCGCCTCGCTACACCAAACACCTGGAGCAGCCAGACAGGGAGAAGCAGAATCTGAGGATGGGTGTGCTGAGTCCTCCGCCCCATCCTCCCTAGTCCTCCCACCTCCTCGCCACAGTCTGTGTGTCAATCATAATCCCACTGCCAAGTCCTGAATGCAAACCTTGGCATGGCACATGTTTCCGAGGGAGCTCAGACTCCTGCCTGAGCAAAAGCTAACCCCCTGGGAGGCAAAGGAACAACACCCCAGCTAGCTGATGGCACAGGGCCTAGATCATCCCCAGTAGGACTGTAAAGAGATTCAGACCATCACTTCTCTGCCGTTTCTGGCCAAGCAACATGAACAGACTCAATCCAAATATTCTAAGTAGTTCCAGAAGAGTTTTCAGACAACCTCAACAAAGACTATACCAACACTGTACTGGGCTGACCTCCCACAGGGACAGGAAGTTCTTCTGTGGCCCAGAGTCTCAGGGAAGCAGGTGGCAGGGGTCTACGTGGGGAAAGGTGTGGCCTCCTCCTCCCTGAGCTTGGCCTTGATGGGGTCCCTTGGCAGCATCAGCTCCTGGATGGTGGCGTACGTGGGACATTGCGGGGAGAAGCAGTTTTTCTGAAAGAGGAAAACGGAGGCTGACAGCTGACTAGGAAACATTACTCCCCTAGGAATAAAAAAAAAAAATCCTAGAGCAGAGGGGGTTAAGGGCTAGGGACACTGAAAAGGCAGGGTGATGAGGATGCTGATCTTGAGGAATGGAGGTTATGTTACAGAATCAGGGAAAGCACAGGCCTTCCTTGGGAATGGGAGATAGAAGTTACCTGCAGCAGCAGCAGAAGCAAGAAAGAGACAGGGACTCACCGCCAGAGACAGCCACAACAGCCCCACGGGGCCCTTGGACACACTCTTAGCCTTGGAGAACTGCGCCTGATACTGTACTGCAGCCAGGAAGCCCTCCAGCCCCACCTCAGTGATGCGATTCCCTAGAGGAGGTACAGAAGGGTGGCCACCTGCCCCTAGCCTCCTGGCACCTGGCACCCTCAGCAGCCTGGCTTCTCTAGCCCCCCAAGCTCACAGGCCCTCTGTCCTGCTCTAATTTCCTCCCCTGATTCCTGGCTTCCCTTTACCTTTTCCATTCTCTGCCCACTGTCTTTCTAAGTCCCCTCAGACCCTAATTACCTTCCTCAGCACTCCCCTCGCCCCAGCTCCATGCTAGAGGGCCTCTGACAGCGTGATGCCCAATGGCAGGACCACATCTCCATAGAGTTGGGGTGGGATGGGGCCTAAGTGGCCCCATGGGAGGAGGGCAGGGCGGCTGGCAGACGTACGGATGAGGTTGAGGTGCAAAAGGACCTTGTTTCCTGGCATGAAAACCTTCCCATCTCGGTGCTCCACAGGCTCCAGGAGAGGGTTGACCACCTCGGTAGCCTCAGCAACCAGCTGTTAAAACAGAGCACTGACTGCCACAGGGGAAGGAGCAGCTGGTCAACAGGCTTCACTCGGCAGACCTGTTCTGACTGCCAGCTTCAGCCCAGACTTTGCCCTGGGTGCTGGGCCTTCAAGAAGCTCTTTCCTGTGCGGGAGCCAGAAAGTAACGAGTACAGTGTAACACCTGAGAGGAAGAGGCCCAGAGCACTGTGAGAGCACAGAGCGGACATCTAGCCCAGGCTGGGGATTCAGGAATGGTCTCCCAGAAGAGGTGGCCTGTGAGCTGAAATTGAGTATGTATGGACATTAGCAGATGAAAATGAGGAGAAAAGTGTCTGGGCAAAGAAAAAAAAATAAGGCAAAGGGTCTTGGAGGCATATGATGACACGTGACATTCACGTCTAGGTATTTCCTAAAACCTAGAGCAGTGAGGATGGGTTAGAGGGAGGTGACAATGAAGACAGGTTGAAAAGAAACTGACGTCATTCTGGTGAGAAATATATCATGATCCAGATGGGCAGAAACAGAGTGAAAGTTGAAAGGCAAACCCCATCTTCTTCCATGTTAACCTCTTCTGTGAGATCTTGTCTGGAGTGCCAGAGAGATTCCTGAAAGGGGAGGAGGCCCTTCCCTGCCTAGAATGTTGGGGGTGGAGGGTCCATCTGATACAGGAGGCAAAATGGGCAGACAGGTCCTTAGACAGCTGACACTGGAGGGGGTGCGACAGAGGTGACCCAGGAAGATTTCAGAAGTGAGGAGCTAGTTGGTCCAAGTTGGAAGGAGAAAGGAGGGATGGACGCAGGGACAAAGGAGAAAGGTCTCAACTATGCAGATGCCCAGGCTTTCTCAGGGAACAGACGATGGGCAAAGGAGAACACGCTTTCCTCCTGCCCAGCAGTGGTAGGGGTGGTGATGATAAGCTGATAGCCTCTGGGGACGTAGCCTGAGTTGAGACAGAGAATCCAAATGTGGGCTGCTAATAAAACAAGAGTGGAGAGTCTACCCAAATCAGAAGGGGAGAAGGGGCACTGGGCTCCAGTTGGATGGAGGGGGTGCAAGTGTGGCTAGGACAGGAACAGAGGACAGATTTGAAGGTAAGTAGCTGCTGCCACAGTATAGGACTGGAGACTACACTCCAGGAGGGGGTGGGGTGGGAGCTGTGGGCCAGGTGGAACCCTAGAGAGGTGCCTCACCTCAGACTCCAGGAGAATGCTGCGCTTCTCTTTGCTCCCGCTCTTGGTCCCTTTTCCCTTGGTTGGCTTCTGCTCAGTGATAGTCACCTCTAGGGCCAGAAGAGGAGCCAGAATGCACAGTGCACACTTCCAATACTGCCCACTCCCGGAGAGAATGGGTGGGATGAGGCAGGGGCTCCCCGAACCCTGAACTGTGAGGACTTTGAGTTTGGGTGCAATGGAAGCACCTGGGAGAGGGGCTGCCAAGAAGGGGGTTCCTTGCCTGAGGACCAGGCCATAGGAGTCCAGCCCTGAGAACATGGATGTGAGAGTGGTAGGTCAGGATGTCTGGGCTGGGTAGGGCTTTGCACATCATCTCGCTATGAGAAGAAAGTAAGACCCAGAAGGACACAGCCAAAGCAACCCCCCACATTCATCACTCAGAAAGGTGGTGGCAGAGAGGGCTGACACTTACTCCCTTTGCTTATCTTTGCGGCATCTTCTTTTTTAGGGGTTGCCTGTGTAGGAGACTGCCCAGACCCTGACTTCTCCTCTTTCTTGACCACATCCTACGGGGAAGGTTCGCAGAGATGAGGAGCTGGGGTCAGGACCCTGGGCTGTGGGACCCTTCAGTGTGGACTCCCTTCTGCCTCTCCCTCACCCACCATTGCCATCTCTCTCTCGCAACACACCTACCCCTGGTTTGTCCTTTTTCTTGGCCAGGCCCTTAGGAGCTTTTATTGTCTGCAACTTGTCCACCTTGTCAAGTGTGATACTGCTGAACCCCATCATCTGGCTCCTCTCACGGTCAAGTTTTGAGTCCGCATGCCTAGAGGAGGACGGCTGTGCTCCCAGTGGGAGGGCATGGAAGAGGAAGCCAGAGCCCCTTCCTCAGTGGAGGCAGGGGATGGCAGCACCATGCCCAGGTAGCAGTCAGGTTGGCAGCATGCCCCACCACCACCACCTCCCTACATGCTAAAATAATGGGTGGCTCCTCTGTGAGGGACACAGCTCCTCTGTTGGAAGGAAACAGCAGAGAAAATGGGTGGGGACAAAGCCAGGAGCTTTCTCCACATTGGTGGGAAAACAGCAGCTAAGTGCCAGGCACTACTGTAAGTGCATTGCATGAACTAAGTCATTTAAACCTCTCAATGACCTTTTGAATAGGTAGAATTATCCCCATTGACAGATGAGAAAACCAAGGCACAGCTAGAATTAAAGCTGGTATGTGGACCAGGCAGATTCTAAATCTGATTATTTTTTTCTCTTAACCAAACACTCTATGGCCCACAGGGGGTTCTGCAATCCGAGTCCACCCAGCAGGGACCTGGCAAACGCCCCTGAGATACAGATGAGGCGGAGAGGAAGATGGTGACTGCGAGGGAGGCCAGTTTGCTGCGAAGCAGCCTATCAAGGAAGCCGAGGGTAGGGGTCGGAGGGGTCTCGGAGGGGTCTGCTCACCGACCGCAGTCGACCCTGCGTCCCCTTCTCCAGCAGGAGCCGCCGGCGCTCCACCACCTCGGTGTGTGTCAGCTCGAAGGGGCCCAGGACCTGGGAGAAGCCGGCAGCCGCCTCAGACGCCAGGGAGACGGGTCTGCGCCAGGCCTTGCCCCTTTGGCACACTCACCTCGGCCAGCTTCAGGGCACCCTTGTCCTGGATACGGTTGTGGGCCAGGGACAGCCAGAGCAGGGAGCGGTTCAGTCGCAGGCCCTGCAGAGGCATGGAGGGGGTGCGTGGGCGCCTGGAGATTCGTCCCCGCGACTGGAGGCTCCCCCCGCAGAGCACGCACATCGGCGATGTAGCCCGCGCCCCGGTCCCCGATGTGGTTGAAGCCCAGATTGAGAGAGACGAGGGTCCGGTTGCAGCTGTGCAGTGTGGACAGCGCCTGGCCCATGAGCTGCGCACCATAGTCGTCGATGTTGTTGTTCCGCAGGGACAAGTGTGCTATCCTGGGGCAGGGGGAGGGAGGCCCAGGGAAGCACCAGCACAGCACCAATCTCCCCGGGGCACAAGGGCCATCTGGCCTGCCATCCAGGGCCCCAGCATAGATGCTAGCAGAGCAAGGAAGGGTGGGAACTAAAGAGGTGTGGGATAGGGACAAGCCCAGGTAAGAGGGTGAGTCTCACGTGCTGTCTAACGCCATGAGCTTGTGGTAGGACTGCTGCTCCAGTGGGTTCCCCTCCAGAGACACCTTCCTGAGGGTGGGGGAGATCTGAGAACCAGGAGGTATCACTGAGGCCAGGTATTGGGAGAGAGGAAGTGTGGGTCTGTGGGGAGCAGCTAGAAAATCAAGTATACCCCAAAGTAGGAATCATATGTGACAACTCCCCAGAATGACTTGGGTATGGCTGTGTGAAAGGGCCACTCCCCAAGTCGGTGACCTGTGGTACAGTGGTCTCTAAGATGGCCTTCAATTACTCCCACCTCCTGGTATTCATGCCCTTGTGTAGCCCACTCCAAGTGTGGGCTGCACCTAGTGACTCATTTAGGGGGTGCAGAGTGGGGAGGAGAAGACAGGTTCCTGCTCTCTGCCCAGGTTAGAGTGCAGTGGTGTCACCACAGACATAAGGGCTCAGCCTCCCACCATACTAGGTTTACAAGGTATAAATCACCATACCCAGCTGTGACTCATTTCTAATGAACACACTATGTTAAAGTGAGGGGAAGGGTTTCATCCTGGGTGCTCTGTAGCACTCTCTCAGATGGCCAGCTACCATGCTATACGAACACTCAGACAGCCTGTGGAGAAGGCCAGGGCCAGCCATACAAGTCAGCTTTGAAGCAGCACAGAAGTCCCTGAGTTGACCCCTGAGATCAACTGTAATGCCCAAATCAAAAGCTTTAGGGCAAACTCAAGACAGACCCTGCACCAGAATCACCTGGTTAACCTACACCAGGCTGTCTCACAAAAATTATGAGATACTATAATGTTTGTTGTCTTAAGCCACTAAATCTTTTTTTTCTTTTTGAGACAGAGTCTCACTTTATTGCCCTCAGTAGACTGCCATGGCGTCACAGCTCACAGCGACCTCAAACTCTTGGGCCCAAGTGATTCTCTTGCCTCAGCCTCCCAAGTAGCTGGGACTACAGGCACCCACCACAATGCCCAGCTATTTTCTTTCTTTTTTTTTTGCAATTTTGGCTGGGGCTGGGTTTGAACTCACCACCTCCAGTATGTGGGGCCAGAGCCCTACTCCGAGCTACAGGCACCACCCTGCCCAGCTATTTTTTAGAGATAGGGGTCATTTGCTCAGGCAATCCACTCGCCTCAGCCTCCCAAGTGCTGGGATTATAGGCATGACCCACCACACCCAGCCAAGCCACTAAATCAGTGGTTCTCAACCTGTGGGTCGCGACCCCTTTGGGGGTCAAACAACCCTTTCACAGGGGTCGCCTCAGACCATCAGAAAACACATATTTCCGATGGTCTTAGGAATGGAGACACCAAACCAGGCGGGTCCAACCACATGCAGATACACCCACATAGGAGTAGCCAGCGTGATCATCGCGCCAACCCCATCACATACACCCCATACAAATACTGCAATGAAAATAATTTTATGGTTGGGGGTCACCACAACATGAGAAACTGTTTATTAAAGGGTTACAACATTAGGAAGGTTGAGAACCACTGCACTAAATCTTGAGGTTAGTTTGTTACACAGCCTCTCCAAAAGGCAATGGCTTCTCTAACAGCACTATGACAATGGTCTCGAACTCCCAGCCTCCCACTAGCCAGGCATGGTGGCACACATCTGGAGTCTCCACCACTCAGGAGGCTGAGGCAGAAGGATCACTTGACCCCAGGAGTTTGAGGCTATAGTGATCTATGATTGAACCACTGCACTCCAGCCTGGGTAACAAAGCAAGGCTCTCTCAAAAAAAGAACTTGATTACATTTACCTGAAAGTAGCTTATGACTTATTTTATTGTATTATTTATAAGATTAATTCATGACGGTTATTTTTCTGCTAGCTGAACCGCTTCTCATTGCTGTGATGGGATAAAATATGTGTTTCTTGGTGTTCTCTCCAGGGTGCTGGGCATTTCCAGCTGGAGGAGACATAGTCCCTGCCCTCAAGGAGCATCTACCCCACCCACAGGAGCAAGGCAGCCTGCCAGTGGAGACACAGAACCTTCAGGGAGGGAACTATGGTAAGGGGACTGGTGCAGCGGACATGGATGAGCACCAAAGATTGAAGGCTGGGCTCTTTGAGGTCTGGGGTGGCCCAAAAAAGGGGACCCAGCTTCTTGTCTAATGGGGGCTTCATGATCCAATAGACACTGACTGTTTCCACAGGGATGCAGCCCAAGCCCATAGGAGCCACCCTTTCAGCTGCCCTCTGACAACCCACCCAGCAATGCTGCCCAGGCCCTGGGACCTCCCTCTCTGCTGACCTGAGTGTGGGTGAGCAGAGAGGCAGGAGGGTGATGAAGGTGGTCAGGGTGCTATCGGTCAGCCCCACTTTCCACAAGCTGGCATTGGGGGGAGTAGATAAACGTAGAGTTGGGGCATCTCTCACTGGAAACACCCCCCTCCTCCCCAGGACCACTCACCTCCCCACAGTCCCTGGGGTCCTCAGTTCCCCTTCTGTTCCCTCTTCCAAACCATCAGTAGCCCATACCCCACGCTGGCCCCCCACCCGCCCCCGGGTGCCCCTCACTTGATGGCCTGTAGCTGGCTAAGGGAGGGCAGACATTTAGAGAAGATGCCCAGGATCCGATCCTCGACCTTCCAACCTGCAGCCAGGGAGGAGGAAGAGGAGGAAGGCTCTCAGGCTTGGGAGGGGCGGCCAGGGAGGGGCGGCCAGGGAGGGCGCACAGAGCGGGGCTCACCGCGGATGTAGATTTCCTTCACTGACTTGTTGTCCTCCGGCTCCAGCTCCACCTGGATGGTGGGCCGGAAGAACACGTATTTGCTCTCCAGGCTGTTGAGGCTGCAGGACCCCGACAACCGCTGGTCGTCTGGAAGGCGGGGGTGAGGAGAGGGGACACGATCCGGGGTTGAAGTACACCGCCTGCCCGCGGGCGATGCTTCCCCGGCCGGGCTCGCCTCCTCCTGGGTTGGACAGGTACACAGCACCTGCCACCTTCGCCCCTTGGAGCCTCCCCGGGCTCTCACACAAGATGATGATGCCCTACCTCTGAAGGGCGGCTGCGGACGGACGCCTCGCGGTCACTCACCTATGGCGGGTTTTTCGGACATGGAGGCGGACGGTACGAAGGTCGGGTGGGGGCGGGGCCTGGTGACAACCTTGGGGAAGTCCGTGTAGCCCGAGCGCGTGCAGAGCTCGGCGAAGTCGTTCTCCAGGACCCCGGTGCACTGGTACTCCTCTGCGGGGCGGGGCGGGGCGGAGCGGGTGCGGTGAGCTGGGCGCTGCCGGGCCGGGGCCGCCAGGGGGCGCCCGAGGTCCGCGTCCCAGCGCAGACCAACGTTGCTGCCGCCATTTAACACGTGCAGTGCGCTGGACCGACCCCAAGAGGAAGCAGTAGGGCGGCAAGAGTTGCGCCCGAGGCTGCAGCAGTGCCTCATTTAGGTGCTGCCAACCGGCGCCAAGGGACAAGCCCACCACCCGCGCCGCTCTCCCCCTAAGTTGGACCGCTGCCTTCGCCGGTGTTAGCCCAGCCTGTGTCCCCTCTCTGCTGGCGCTGCCCAGAGTCCCTCGGAGAAAGCAGCGCAATTCCTCTCGCTCCCACGCCCACACGCCGAGTGAGCCGGGCGCGGACTTTGATTTGAGAAGCGTGTACGCGGCTCTCCCTGGGACGGCGCGTTTTCGGCTTCCGGAAGATCAACTCAGTCCTAGCAACTCGGACGTGCCGCCACGTCCGGTCCCGAAGAAGCTTTGCAAACCTCAAGTGTCTGAGTCTCTAAGAGAGCCCTGCTCTAGCCAGCTTCTCCCGTGGGCACCCCAGGAAGAAGTGGTTCCTGGAAAAGGGGCGGGGTCCCTGCCAAGTGCGGAACAGCCCGGACCCTGAGCCTCGCAGCCTCTAAGCAACACCATGCAGGCCACAGGCAGCAGGTGGCAGTAGAGTACCGGCCCTGAGGGTGTGGAGGGACTAGCAGGACCTCAGCTTAGCAAGTGTTGGGGCAGAAAGCAGGGAGGTTTGGGGTTCCTGGGAAAGGGGTGAGAGGCGCGCCTTTCTCCTGTGTGCAGTGGTCAGCGGGAACCCAGGCGCACAGCTGGATACACCTAGCGGGTAAGGCATAAGGAGGCGGGGTGACCCTGGCAGGGCTGGCCCTGCACACTTCCTGACCTTCCCAGACTGTTAAAACAATGTCCTGGGCCTCATCCCCAGAAATTCTGATTCCATAGTCTAGGTGGGGCCCATGAACATGCATTTTTAACAAGCTCATAGATGATGCCAAAGCAGCTGATCCAAGCACATCACCTTGAAAAGCACTGCTGTAGATGAGCCTTGTCCCACAGACCTTTGTGCGACAGTGGGATCAGACCTTGTCTGCTTAACGGGGTATAGTTGCCTAAAGGACAGCACAACTCCTGCTCTCTTCCCTGCCCACACTCCTAACTGCTAAGGGCCTCCCCCTCGAAGTTTCTTGAGCAATAGAAACCATCATATGTGATTTCCTCTAAACTGAGATGCCTTCCTACATCACTCTCTACCTAACATCTGTCCCTGCCACAACATGACGCCTGCTAAAGCCTCCATGACCTCCGTGGTGCCCTACCCAGGGTCCTCATCACATTCTACCCCACCTCTCTGCTGAGACTGCTCAGGTTTCCCTGCCAGCTTCTCCTCCTCTAAGCCTCTCAGAGACTGGTCCTGACCCCTCTCCTCTAGTTTCACTCCCTCCTTGCTTGGGAATCCCTTTCATTCCTAGGCCTTAACTACGTCAGAACATCAGCAGCTCTCAAAGTAATATCTCCACCCCTAACCTTGCTTCAGCATTCCAGACCCCTGTGTCCCACTGCCCAGCTGGTATCACCTGTTGGAGATCCTCCCTTATACCCCCCTCCTGCAGGCTATCCCATCTCCTTAAATGGCACCTCCACCCACCCCACACCCCATCCAGAAACCTGAGAAGATTTCCTACTGTGTCCCTCACCCCCACCCTGTCCAGTCTTTCACTGACTCTTCCTATTTCTGTCTCTGAAGTGTTTCTCCCAGGAACCTAACCCATCCACCCCTCTCTATCCTCACTGCCCTATCCCAGCTACCACTGTCTCTGGGCTGAGCTGCTGACATCTCTCTGCCTCCATTCTCTGCCCTTTCCACTCCATTTGTGTGTGTGTGTGTGTGTGTTTATCGCATAGCAGACTCTAGATTGTCTTGTCCACCCTTCTAGAAGATGCTTATCCTCCAGCTCTCATAATTCCTTCTTCCCAAACACCAGCACTGACAAGGAGATGGCCAACGTGGAACAATCAAATCCTTTTCCCAAGTTGTTTTAACCTGATTCCAGGAACAGCAAGTCCCTTAAGGAAGGCAAAGCTTGCAGATTTGTATCAAGAAGTCTTCCAATAAATTCCCTTTTGTGCTTAGAGTTGGATGGGGTTCTATCACTTGCAACAAAAAGAACCACACCCCTACTTATGCATTCTAATTGTTTTCTTTTCCCAGCGAATGTAAATCCATGAGGGCAGGACTGCCCATGTTGTTATCCTCTGTATCACACCTGGCCCCAGAGTGGGCATTGGAAAAGTAATTCTTGAGCTGAGCTCAGTGGCTCAGGCCTATAGTCCTAGCACTCTGGGAGGCAAAGGCAGTTGGACTGCTTAAGCTCGGGAATTCTAGACCAATCTGACCAAGAGTGAGACCCTGTCTCTACTAACAATAGAAAAACTAGCCAGGCACTGTGGTGGGCTCCTGTAGTCACTTGTAGTACCCCATACTTAGGAGGCTGAGGCAGGAGGATCACTTGCCCGCACAAGTTTGAGGTTGCTGTGAGCTATGATATCATGGCATTCTACCCAGGACAACAGGGTAAGACTCGGTCTCAAAAAAAAAAAGGAAAAAAGTAATTGTCGAGTAAATGAATGAACATCTATAAAAACTTCTCAAAAACACCGCCTAGCAGTCTCCCTTTGTCCTCTCGTCACCCTTGGGCCTTCCATACACACAAAGGTTGTATTTCTCAGCATCCCCAACCGGAGTGTGGGTTCTTTAAGATCAAGTTCAATTCATTTACCAAGCTGAGGTTCAGGAGCTCAGTCGGCGGAGCTCAACCTCAGCAGCGAGTCGCGGGGTGGGACGCAGCCTGGGGCCCATCTCCCCCCAGCGCCAGCGTACCGGGGTTTTTCGGCTCCTCCTCGCCTACAGGCGGCAGCGCGGACACCGGCTTCTCCTTGGCCGCGCGCTCTCCCTTTTTAGTCACTGACCCGGACGCCTTCTGCGTCCCCGGACGCGGGACCCTGGGCGAGGCCCCGGGCGCGCCGGGCTCGTTCGACATGCTGGTGCTGTCCGCAGCGCCTCGGGGATCTTGTGCAGGCGGATTGTTAGGACAGGACTCTGTGGGGTTCACCAGGGGTGGCGGAATCAGGGGTCTCTGTTCTGCGTCTACTGACCAGATGCGACCAACCCGCGACGGCGTCACTTGTGTGTCCCTCTCCAAGACAACCGCGCGCGGCTGGCCGGTCCTCGGCGAGGTGGCAACCGCAGAACGCACGCGCGACCAGCAGGGGACGCTGCAGGGTCGGTGCAGAGCGTGGGGAGAAGCTAGCCAGGCCCTGGGGAGGAGCTAGAGCAAGGAGAAAGGCCGTGGAGGGGCGGGGCGAGGGCGACCCGAGGTCCCAGGGGCAGGTGAGCCCGGTGGAGCCAGGCCTGGCCGATCCTATGCTGCAAGTTGGACTGGAGCAGCCAAGGGCCTGAGACGGGCCGTGACGGACAGCGATGAGTGAATCCAAGACCGAACCAGAGGGGCAGGGCCGGGATAGGGTGAGCGCGGACAATGTAAAATCACCCTAGAATTGAGCCCGAGAGAACAGGGAGAGCTGAGCATGGTAAGTGGGGACATGGCAGATAAAGACACTAGGAAGGGAGAGACCAGATGAAGGCAGATTCACCCTCCAAGGTACACCCGCCTATCCTGGAAAGAGAGAGCCCCATCCTGTTGGTGTGAGGCTAGGTTCTATTCTCACCCCATCTATTTAGCTCCCTGGAACTCTGTGCTCTCAGTTAATACGGTAATGAATTGATGAGCCACACTCCTTAAAAATCTGGAATTGAAAGTCATCACCTATCAGACCCTGACAGTTCTGCCCTCCTGGCTCATTTGAGTAAAGGCAAGATCCCGCCATTTGCGGTTTCACACCACTACAGTAAAGTGGATATCGCTTCAAAGTGAGTCACCCACACTTTTTTTGGTTTTCCAGTGCATATAAAAGTTATGCTTAACTGTATTTTGGTGTATTAAGTGAGCAATAGCATTATGTATGTTTGCAAGTACATATTACTTCATTTAAAAATGCCCTCTGAGCCCTAGGCAAGTCATAATCTTTTTGACACATCCCCGGTGGAGGGTCTTGCCTCGATATTGATGGCTGCTGAATAATTGGGTGGTCACACCCCCTTGCTGAAGGTTGGGGTGGCTGTGGCAATTTCTTTTCTTTTTTTTTTTTTTTTTGGCTGGGGCTGGGTTTGAATCTGCCACCTCTGGCATATGGGGCGGCGCCCTACTCCTTTGAGCCACAGGTGCTGCCCATGTGGCAATTTCTTAAAATGACAAGAATGAGGTTTGCCACATGAACTGACTCACAAAAAAGTTCTCTACAGTATAGGTACAGGAGGCTATTTGATGACATCTTACACTAGAACTTCTTTCAAAATTGAAGACAATAAGACAATTCTCTCAAACCCTTCAGCTACCTTAAATTGGTTTTTTGAGGGGGGTTGTTTGGTTTTTTGTTTGTTTGGTTTTTGAGACAGTCTTGTTCTCTCATCCTGGTTTGAGTGCAGTGGTGTTATCACAGCTCACAGCAACCTCAAATTCCTGGGCTTAAGTTATCCTCCTGCCTCAGCCTCCCAAGTAGCTAGGATTACAGGTACCCATGAACATATATGGCTAATTTTTATGTTTTTTGTAGAGGCAGAGTCTCCCTCTTGTTCAGGCTGGTCTGGAATTCCTAACCTCAAGCGATCCTCCTACCTCAGCCTCCCAGAGTGCTGGGATTGCAGGCATAAGCTGCCATGTCTCACCTTTGTTAACTGTTTGTACAATATAATATTGTAAATTCTTTGTTGTCATTTCAACAATGTTGGCAACACCTTCACCAGGAGGAGGTTCTATCTCAAGAAATCGCGTTCTTTGCTCATCCCCAGGAAGCAACTCATCCAATGAGCTCATTCATTCAAGTTTTTTTTGTTTTTTTGGTTTTTTTTTTTGCAGTTTTTGACCAGGGCTGGGTTTGAACCCACCACCTTTGGCATATGGGGCCAGCACCCTACTCCTTTGAGCCACAGGGGCCACCCCATTCATTCAAGTTTTATCATGAGATTATAATAATGAAGTCACATCTTCAGGCTTCACTTCTAATTCTAGTTCTCTTGCTGTTTCCATCACATATGCAGTTACTTTCTTCTCCACTAAAGTCATTCATGAGGGTCAGAATCAAATTCTTCCAAACCCTTCTTAGTATGGATATTTTGACATCTAATGAATCATGAATATCCCTAATGACATCTAAATGGTAATCCTTTCCAGAAGGTTTTCAATTTACTTTGCCCAGATCCATCAAAGGAATCACTATCTACGGCAGCTATAGGCTTACAAAATGTATTTCTTTTTTTTTTTTTTTTTTTTGTAGAGACAGAGTCTCACTTTTTCGCCCTTGGTAGAGTGCAGCGGAGTCGCTCCAGCAACCTCCAACTCCTGGGCTTAGGCGATTCTTCTGCCTCAGCCTCCCAAGTAGCTGGGACTACAGGCGCCCGCCACAACGCCCGGCTATTTTTTGTTGCAGTTTGGCCGGGGCTGGGTTTGAACCTGCCACCCTCGGTATATGGGGCTGGCGCCTTACTCACTGAGCCACAGGCGCCTCCCACAAAATGTATTTCTTAAGTAATAAGACTTGAACATCTCAATTGCTCCTTAATCTATAGGAATTCTGTAGAATTCCAATTCTATTGGAATTGACATTGTGTTAGTGGGTATGAAATCAACATTCATCTCCTTGTACATCAGAGTCCTTCAATGACCAGGTGCGCTGTCAATGAGAAGTAATATTTTTAAAGGAGTCTTTCTTTCTGAGCACGAGTTCTCAACAATGGGCTTAAAATATTCAGTAAACCGTGTTGTAAACAGATGTACTCTTATCCAGGCTTTCTTGTCCTATTGATGGGCCATAGGCAAAGTAAATTTAGCATAATTCTTAAGGGCCCTAGGATTTGTGGAATGGTAGGTGAGCACTGACTTCAACTTAAAGTCACCAGCTACATTAGCCCCTCACAAGAGAGCCAGCACATACTTTGAAGCCAGGCATTGACTTCTCCTCTCCACCTATGAAAGTCCTAGATGGCACCTTATTCCATTACAAGCTGTTTAGTCTACATTGCAAATCTGTTGTTTAGTATAGCTACCTTCCTCAAGTATCTTAACTAGATCTTCGGGATAACTTAGATAAGACTTGAAATTTTGTCGAGCTGAGCATGGTAACTCATGCCTATAATTCTAGACTCTGGAAAGCCAACGCAGATGGATTGCTTAAATTCAAGATCAGTCTAAGCAAAAAATAGAAAAACTAGCTAGGTGTTGTGGTAGGTGCCTGTAGGCCCAGCTACTTAGGAGGCTGAGGCAAGTGCCTCACTTGAGCCCAAGAGTTTGAGATTGCTGAGAGCTGTGATGACACCCCAGCACTCTATCCAGGGCAAGTCAAAATTACTCCTTAATTCATGGACAGTGGAATGGATATTGTGTCAGCAGGCATGAAAATAACACTAATCTTTGTCCATCTCCATCAGAGCTCTGGGGTGACTTTAAACTGTAAAGTCTTAGTCAGGTGTGGTGGCTCATGCCTGCAATCCCAACATTCTGGGAGACTGAGGTAGAAAGATCCCTTGAGCTCAGGAGTTCAAGACCAGACTGACCAAAGTGAGCCTTATCGCTACTAAAAATAGATAAATTAGCCAGGCATTATGGTGGGCATCTGTAGTCCCAGCTACTCAGGAGGCTGAGGCAGGAGGATCACTTAAGCCCAGGAGTATGAGGTTGCTGTGAGCTAGGTTGATGCTGTAGCAATCTACCCAGAACAGCAGAGTGAGACTCTATCTCTGGGGAAAAAAAAATTAATGTCTTTCCTTCCTTATGATAATATTCTTTCCTTAACCTCACAAACCTTAAATCTTTTTTTTTTTTTTTTTT